TAGAGAGAGAGAGAGAGAGAGAGAAATTAGTTGCAAGAACTATTGTACAGAACTATTCAGTCATTATTAAAGTAATTAAAACTAATTGTCATTATCTGTTTATGTGTAACTTGGAGAATCTATTACATGCTACACCATTTGTTAAATTTTCTCTATAATTTTGATTGTAAGCTAATTAAATGGTTGATGTTATGGTATGGACCTGACTAATTATGTCAATATTTATTTTTAAAGGGTCCAGATATATTAGATTCCAGTTCTGTTTTAATTCACTCTGGTGACATAATCAGGGCTTCATCTGGGTGGTCTCGTGAACACACAATCTTCCTTTTTGACCACTTACTAGTCTATTGCAAAAAGGTTAGTCAAGTTTCATATATTTGGTTGGATAGGTTATTTAGAAGTTTTGTTAATCTTGTTTTCTTTATGAGAGAAGTAAAAACTGCCATTTTGTAAAAATGTGGAGTTTGAATTTTCTTTTTTTTTCCTTTTATTAGAAACTTGATTATTGTTAAGTTTAACACTGGGTATTACCAATGCATTTGGTCATTACAATTTCTTGAATATCTTTTTAAATTCTCCTCCTGTATCGTAATGATAGTTTGTTTGCTTTATTTTTTTGTCTAATACTTTAATCATCTGATGATTCATATTATGTTGCTATATCCTTTTCATGCAAGTTTGTTATTTTCCTTACAGAGTTTTCCTGTGTAAATATATAAAAAATCCAGCTGATTGCAACTTGATTAATTGATATAATTCATTAACTGTGTGTATCATTGCGTTGATTAGTGTCATGTAAAATAATTGATTAATTGAAATTATGATTAAACCAATTAATGTCACAAAAATAATCAACCGATTAAAATTAGAGTTTCTGGTTATCACTGTTTTAGATTATTGCAACTATCCCAGTAATTGAAATATTGCCATTTTGACTTATCCTTATTACTTTAGATTAATTCAAGTTTTTTCAGTGTAGTTGAAATCAGTGTTTCTGGTTATTACTGTTTTCAGTTATTCCAACTGTCCAAGTCTTATTTGAGAACAAATGTCACTAATCAACCATCTTTTATTACAACAGGGTTGACCTGACCTTAATATGATCTATTTCACCATAACTTGCAAGAAAAGATGAAAACGTATTGTTAGTTACGTCTCCGTTTGTTAATTAACTTTCCGTAACTTCGTTCCGACGAAACTTTAGCGACACAAGTCCTTACTTAATAAAACTGGTTTATTCTTTCTGAATATAACTTTACGATATACTTGATTTCAACATTCGCGCTAAAACAAACACTATAACGAACTTCAACAATACTCTCTTACTGCAAATCAATTACTCACTACCTACACACACATTGTCACGTCATGCCGTGACCACCCTATATCTAGTAAATGCTACGGCATTCACGAAGGAACAAGATATTTCTAGAAACGTGGAGTGACACT